AACTGACAAATTTTCAAATGTAGAACTGACAAATTTTCAAATGAATAAATGAAAAAGTTTCAGAACAAATGAAACACATACATGGTTTACATGAATCAACATAATTACACATGAGTCAATATGAATCAACTTAATTATACATGAGTCAATCCGATTACTCAGTCATCCTTAATTATTCCGAATAAGCATTTCCACCATTGCACTCAATTCCAAAAAAAAACGAAAATAATTATCCACTTAGTATAATTCACTTTCGAGTCATTTAGATATACAACACCGATTAACGAGGTAATTAAAATTACCACGGTAATTGCAACACTGTACGTCCAATTACTCGAATGCGATCTATACTTCCAACTTTCGTTCGGATGAAAATCAAAATTCCGATGTTTCAATTTAAACAATGTAAGCACGTCTTTCCTTTCTTAATTAAAGTAGATCTTTCATTTTTCGTTTTTAATTAAAATCTTTCCTCTTCACTCGATGTTAAAGTCTTTCCTCTTCACTCGTAGTTTGAAATCGTTTCTCTCCACTTGTAGTTAAAATCTCTCTACATGCTTAAAATTTTTCCGTTCAGAGTCGGTTAATAATTTCAAAAATTAAAGGATCCCGTTAATAATTTGTTAAAATTACGCAGATATTGATCGCGATACAGATTAGCAATTAGATGTTCATTCAAACATAATTCAAAGTTTTATTAGAATAATACTATTATATTACAAATCGATGTTAACAGGAAGGTGGCAACTGCACGATAAAGACAAACTTTCTTCAATATGTGTATTCAACATGTGTATGTAACGTGTTTGTATTTCATATGTGTCTGTAATGTGTGTATTTAATGTGTGCATTTAATATGTGTCTCTCATATGTGTATTTCATATGTGCCTTTCATATGCATATGTAACATGTGTATGTAATGTGTGATTTTAATATGTATATGTGATATGTGTATGTGATATGAGTATTTTATATGTGTATTTGACACGTATATGTAATATATGTATTGAATATACGTATGTAATATGGGTACTGATAAATGACGATGTCATCGAGATCAGAAAATCACAAAATTACAAAATTACAAAATTATAAGATCACAAGATTATAAGATCAGAAGATCAAAATTACGAAATCACAAGATCTCAAGATCACAAGATTACAAGATCACAAGATCACAGGATCAAAAGATCACAAGATTATAAGATCAGAAGATCACAAAATCACAAAATTAAAAAATTATAAGATCACAAGATTATAAGATCAGAAGATCAAAATTACAAAATCACAAGATCACAAGATCACAAGATCACAAGATCACAAGATCACAAGATCACAAGATCACAAGATCACAAGATCACAAGATCACAAGATCACAAGATCACAAGATCACAAGATCACAAGATCACGTAAAATCATAAGATCACAAGATTATAAGATCAGAAGATCAAAATCACAAGATCACAAGATCACAAGATCACAAGATCACAAGATCACAAGATCACAAGATCACAAGATCACAAGATCACAAGATCACAAGATCACAAGATCACAAGATCACAAGATCACAAGATCACAAGATCACAAGATCACAAGATCACAAGATCACAAGATCACAAGATCACAAGATCACAAGATCACAAGATCACAAGATCACAAGATCACAAGATCACAAGATCACAAGATTACAAGATTACAAGATCACAAGATTACAAGATCACAAAATTATAAAATCATAAGATCACAAGACTAAAAAATCACAAAATCACAAGGTAAAAATATAACAAAATCGCAGCGTCCCATAGCTTGATAACTGTAAAATCCCAAAGTTACACTGTTCCCAATGCCTAAAATCATTAAATCCCAAAATTCCTAAGAAATTCCTAACTTCCAAGGCTTCCAACTGGAACTTGGAACGTCCCAAAATCTAAATATCCCAAGACCCTAAAATTCCACTTACAAACTCCATCTTCAAACCTTAATTTCAAGGGTGCAAAACCCCAAAAAATTTCAAAACTAACGCACCTTAACTTTGAACCCCCAAACTCCAAATATTCCAACTGCCTAAAATTCCATCCTCCAAGTGCATCTTCAAAGGTGCCAAAATCTGCAAATCCCAAAGCTCTAAAATTACCTAAATTTAAACTTGCAAAGTTCGAATATCCCAACTCCCTAACATCCCACCCTCAAAGTCCATCTTCAAAGGTGCCAAAATCTGCAAATCCCAAAGCTCTAAAATCTCCTAACTTCACAGTCCCAAACTCCAAATATTTCAACACCCTAAAATTCCATCCCCCAAGTCTGAACTCTTCAATCTTCAAATCTGAATTCTCAACCCATCTCAAGTCCCCAAATCCGAAAGACTCGAATCTGCCTATATCCAAATATAAAATTCCCCAAATTATACCCGCATATCAAAAGACCTCGACATCCACAACGCTCTCCAAACATCCATCACAAATTTCCCTCAAACCAAAATTACCAATCGCGCATTCCGCACCTCACCAACATCCACGTCCACATCATTATCCTCCACAGATCGCAAGAAAAACAGGAAGCGAATCCCAAGACCCGTGAACCACGTTCAACCCTATCTTTCAGCAGGCCGCATCTATCATACGCGGCAGTCAACAAGTCACTTAACGAAGTCTAAATCAATCATTCATGAATCCGTAAGTCATATCCTGGGTTGGCCTTGTTGAAACACGAGCACCGTTACAGAAACCCGCCCCATGACACTAATGCAAATCGTGTTAATGGTCCGCGAACGATTCCGCAGGAAACAAGGTGCAAACGTACACAGTTGTCATTAACATAGCTCTCTAATTGGCTACCCGTGTTCCCTTCGATGATGTATTCGCATAAAACCGCACCGGCAGCCTGCAACGTAGTCATTCGCTGCGATAAAATCCATCGTTTTCCATCAGTGACATTTAACTGGGATTGTTTATGATCGCACGTGTTCCGCCCTGCTCTACCGTAACTGCTATTTAATTATAAATTCTGATGTAGGCAACCGTGAGCTCGTTTATATACGAGCTCAAACACGTGACAGACGCCCACTGCTTAGAGTGATCGACATTTAACCCTTGGTTGGTAGAGAGAGGATGGAATTACGGAACCAGAAGAGTAGAGATTGTTTCAGGTTGAGGATGAAGAGCTTTTGGTAGCTGTAAAATTTGGGGCGTATGGGGGAGAGATGTGAAGTTTGGGACTTTAAGGTTATGGCTAGGTATTAAGGATTTTGGGAGGAGCATATTTGGAATTTTAGGGTCATGAAGGGATATCAAGTTTTTGAGAGTAAAATTTTGGGTGGAGGTATCAAGTTTTTAGGAGCAGTACATTTGGAATTTTGGGGTTATAGTGAGGTATCAAGTTTCTGACACTAGTAGTAAATTTAGAACTTTGAGGTTATGGTGAGATATCAAGTTTCTGAGAGTTGTAGTAAATTTGGAACTTTGAGGTTATGATGAGGCATTAAGTTTGGGATTTTGGGGTTGTAGTAAAGTATCAAGTTTCTGACACTAGTAGTAAATTTAGAATTGTGAGGTTATGGTAAGGTATTAAGTCTGGAATTTGGGGGCTACAGTGAAGTATCAAGTTTGGAATTTTAAGGTTATGGTGAGATATCAAGTTTCTGACAGTAGTAGTTTTGGAACTTTGAGGTTATAGTGAGTTAAGTATCTAGTTTTTGAGGGTAGTAAATTTGGAATTAATGGTTTGGAGAGTTAAATATCAAGTTCCTGAAGATACTATCCTTGGAATTTGAGATTTTGGGTTCAGAGATGAAAAATTTAGAAACTTGAATATTTCCAAACGTGGATATTGAAATTTTTGAATTTGGAAGATTTGAAATTTATAAAAGTCGAACTTCTAAATATACAGAACTTCAAATTTATGAATATATAAATTGAAAAACTCAGAAACAAAGAAAATGAAAAAATAAAAGAATGAAAAATTGAAAAATTGAAAAATTGAAAAATTGAAAAATTGAAAAATTGAAAACTTGAAAACTTGAAAACTTGAAAAATTGAAAAATTGAAAAAATAAAGAAACTCAGAATCTCAGAAATTGATAAGTCTATAAATTGAAAGCTTCACAAAATAAACTAAAAGATACTGGTATTGTCGCGTCCTAATTAGTACAAGTGATTGAAATCATATCGTGTCCTAACTGAACGATTGCCGCCAATAGAACGCATTCTTCCGTGGCGAATGATCGAACGATAATTGATTCGAAGACAATAATGCGTGAAACTCGCGTGATTTACGTTCAATTCACGTTTAATACGCTCGAGTTCTACGCCTTCGATGACTAATGTTCCTTTTATAACATCGGTTAAAGAGGAATACAATGGACAAACACAATCACAATGTGGCTGTAAAACGTGACCACCTTCGTTTGACCACATTAATAATTCATTGGATAAACAATTATCTGTCAGTTCGTGAGCATCTACTGAATAGACGATCACATTTCTATCATTCTCGCGTCTTGTTACTCTGAAATTGATTTAAATTTGCGGAGGAATAAAAATGTTGATAAGAACATTGTTTATTGAAACAATGTGTGGGAAGAGGGGAATTTATTTTTAAGTAGGTTTTCGTTGTTAATTGCATGTAGTTGATATGTGAGGTTTGAATGCAATGATGCATTTTTAAAAATTACTTCTGAATGTTTTTATCAGACTTTAGATTAAGTTTTGTGTGCCATAAGTGCTATTTTGCAGTACTTTTATGCCATCGAGATGTATATGATTTTATCTTAAATACTCATTAATTACACATGTTAAATACACCATTAAATGCACACGCAATACACACATGTCATTTCGTATCTTGATGTCATTTTGTAATATTTTTATCTTGTGATTTGATGTTTTGATGATTTTGCAATGTTGTTATTTTGTGATTTAATGATTTGATAATTTGGTGATGTTGCTATTTTATTATTTGCTGACTTGTTAATTCTCCAATATTGTTATCTTATAATTTAATAATCTTGTGACTACATGTTGTTACTTAACAATTTCATATTTGAATACATACCATTCCTCTCTCTCTCCCAATCATCCTCAACACAAGTTAAACCCCACACTCAACACACAAAACAAATAAACCCATCGGAAACTACAACTTCTTTATTCCCCGTTCATCCTACATCGAACAGTAACATTATAAGGTACAAATTAATGTCGACTGGCATGGTTGTATCAGTACATGGAACCCTTGTCCTCGGGCAGCAAGAAGTAGATCGTCACGTTCCCTTGGGCTGTTTTCACGATCTCCTGGTGTCTGATCAGCCAAGTCGCTGCCAGTCCGTACATCAACGTGGGTATACCTGATTGCACGGATAAGGAATATAAAGCAACGAATGATCGGTTATCGGGGCGACACGCCGTGCCACTGAAACTTCATGTTCGCTATTTACAGAACGGAAAAGTGTCAATGAAACGAGACGTTGATGCAAAAGGACGTTCCTCCTTTCTGCTGGGGACATTACCATTCAAAAGTATCTCTCTCGCACTTTCACTCTTTTTTACTGGGATTTGGGAGATTTGGGATTTGGGAGATTTGGGATTTGGGAGATTGGTTATTTGACAATTTGCACATTTGTGAATTTTGACAATTGAGGATTTCGGTATTTTTGGATTTTGGAGTTTGAGGATTTAGGAATTTGTAAATTGCAGAACTTGAGGATTTCAATATTTGTGCATTTCAGCATTTAAAAGAATTTCATTAAGCGATTAGTATATAACCTCTTAAATAATTTGGCATATGTGGGATCTGGGATATGTGGGATTTGGGATATGTGGGATTTGGTACATGTGGGATTTAAGACATGTGGGGATCTGGGATATGTGAGATTTGGGATATGTGGGATTTGGTACATGTGGGATTTAAGACATGTGGGATTTGGGATATGTGGGATTTGGGATATGGGGGAGATTTGGGACATGTGGGATTTGGGACATGTGGAATTTGGCACATGTGGGATTTGGCACATGTGGGATTTGAGACATGTGGGATTTGGGACATGTGGGATTTGGGACATGTGGGATTTG